GAGAGGACATTTCTTTCCATTTCGTCCCGTTATGCACCGCCATTTCCCCAGATCAAGCGCGTCTTATTTTTGCTTGACCTTGTTGCGCGACGTCCCCACTATCTGAGGGCCTGGCACGGGTTAAAACAAAGTATGTGAAGGTATATTGGGAAATTAATATTCAACTAACTGATAAGAATTCAAACAGCAATAATTGAGTGACTATCAACTTTACTGTACGTTTTGACTGTCCCAGATTTGTGTTAGTTCGATCCAGTGACGGTATTTGAATTTTGACATCTTTATGTAGTGGAACCTCGAGATAACAAATCTCTACATAACGAAGTCCTCGGTATAACGAACGATTTTCTTTATCCTAGTAACAGTAAACTATATTAAAAAGAACCCCATTACTAGGATGAGTATGATCGTCCGGGTGACGTAGTCCTGAATAGGGCTGTTGTTGAGTGACAGTGCCTGACGTTCCAACAACCTGTGCGGTAGTCATCTTCAAAGTCAAAGTGAGTTGTATCATAAATGATGAAGACTCGTTATGTCATTGGTGCTTTTCGATCCGTCTTTTGCCCCAGTTAAACGGTCGTTTATTGTTAGTCAAATTGTCAGTTGTCCCGGCAGTTATTCACTGGTAGTTAGTTTAGCTTGATTCCGTCAATAAGTCGTTTGTACGGTGCCAGTAGCTGCTGACTACGATTCAGTGGCGTTTCTTCTGAATCGTAGTCAACAGACTCCTGGGTTCAAACTTTTCACAAAAAGAACCCCGATATAACGAACCCTCGATATAGCCAACAATTTTTGCCTGTCCCTTTTGCGAGGTTCTACTGTAGCTACACGTACACTTCATTTTTCTCAGATCAACGCAGCCCGTTTTTCAGATGAGATAGCACAGTTCGCTTGTCGCCGAAGATCTATTTGGAAATGAATTTTTATCTCGAAGGTCGCGTGACGATGAAACCGATGTTAACATTTCTTCTCCCCTCCCCCTGCCATCTAAAAGGCGGACATGCAACTGACAGCGAGCGTCTTTTTTATCTTTAGGAGGAACATTTTCTCTCATATATTTGCGAGATTGGAGTGTGTGATGGTATTTCTCCATGGAAGAAAATGTCCGTAGATAATCTACCCTTTGATCCAGATCACAAGGACAAGCTACAACATTTGTTAACTATTGCAACATCATCGTTATCTAAATTGTAAATCGCTCGTTTTTCTCTTTTTTTTTTTCGGATTTATAGGGGCCATTTTTCAGTCCGAAAACAACATAGAACGCCTGTGGGGTAGGAAAAAGGATAAATTGTGCAAGTCTGTTAATGCGAAGATTGTGCGTCACCTGACTACCTCCTAGTCGTCTCTTGTCATTTGGTTGAGAGTGGTGGGAGATAAGCACGGAACGTTTTAAAGGGAACGACAGGAGCAAACACGATAATCCCTGCGCGCCGCTCTCACGCGCTTCTGTTGTCAATATATGCGTTTTAATAATAGCAGTCTGACGACGAGTCAGGCGTCGTGCCAAAATCGGGTTTACATTTGCATAAATCAATTCTATTTACCGAAAAACGGCCGAGAAAGCCTGAAACTGGCGAAGAAATAAATGTAACACGAATTTCCGTTTGGAACATTCCGTCCGAAACAACAGGAATACTTTTTAAGATTTCCCGTTGCTCCGGGAAATTTTCCGCTGGCGCGTCCCAAAAAGTCGTGTTCCATGTTCTTTTCAACCCGATTTTCCGGAAACCTTTTGTAAATTGTAAACAATCAGGTTTTGTCTCGAGGATATAGCTGATGAGGGCAATTTTTGTTCTAAAGTCAGTAAGTTCCTCTACTTTTGCAGAGTTATTAATATTTCAAACAAATTTCTTTAGGAACACTAGCCATGATAATAACTTGGTAATTTTTGTAGACATAGCATAAAAACAAAATATTTCCCAATTTAGTCAACGTTCTTGCCATCTATAGCAACAGAGGACAAGAAACAGTTTCGATACCTGAATATAGCCTTAAATAACAAAACTACATCATTAATATTTTTGGTATTCAAGACACGTGTTGGCTTTTTAAAAGATTTCAAATCACGTGACATAGCCCTTTTATGTTATGACAAATGTAACAAAATTCTCAAATCTGATTGGCTATTAACTGTCCTGATTTCAGCACTAATAAGGGGGTGTAATAGGACAGTACGCCATGCCTAAGTAATTGGACAGTACGCGCCATCCCACGCGCGCACTTGAATGGCTTTTTGTCTTTCATTGTCAGCAAAAAGTTCTCGGAATTTCTTTCTTTTAATTTTTAAAAAAGCCGAACATATCACTAATATTGTTATTTTTATGATCAACTGATAACTCAACTTCGTGTCGTCCAATCGGTCTGTAATCGTACTCGTGATGAAACAAATCGGACTGCCTCCACGCGGTCGTTCGATTTTGTTAGTCGCTAGGCGTATGATTTCAGACCGAATTGGACTCCACTCAGCCCTATAATTATTAGTAAACAGTCCATGCATTAGATCCAAGTGAATTACTGTACCTTTATTCACTCTGACTGATTAGGATCTTTTTTGATCCCAAGTTAAGCGAGCTTGATCGTACAGGGTTTTTGCAGTGTTCTTACAGCCTCCACGTTACGAGAGTTCTCATGTTGTCCCTACTATTTACATTTTTGTGAGTATTTGGTTTATTTAAGAAAACAGCCAACATTTCGGGACTGCACCACTGGTTTCTCCGCGAAATGACTACGTCAGAGAAACGAACGTAGAGATTTCATACTGATGACGCGTCAATACCCAGATCTCGTTTGTGCTTCAAATTGAATGAAGCAAATGTTCAACCAATCAAAAGCGCTACCCAGATCTGGGTAGTGACGCGTCATCAGTATAGAGCATTTTCACTCACGTGGCCAGCGTCTATGCAAATTTTTTGGGACAAAAGAAAGCGTTTACATAAGAAAAGAGTTCAACTCCCCGAGGATTTTCTTGGCACACCAACAT